GAAATTGTGACTTGAATGGAACAAACGCTATGTAGGCATAACGAATAGTCAGTAGATAGAATTTTGACGTGTCGCCCCAGCTCACCTGGAGGACAATAATCCCAAGTTGTCATGAAGATGCGCGTCGACGTGGTTCATGCCCGCGAATGTCGTTGCAGTGCTACCAGTTGATGTTCCAGGTGCCAGCACTCGTTCTGGCCAAAATGATCAGAAGCTTTCCTTAACATGTTGATCAGAAGTTTAACCCAATACGCACCACCAACCCAAGGAAAAAGAGCGTACGTGTTGGGTCGTGTTGGGTGAAAATCCAGGAAGGAGCCAAGACCTAGTATAATAGGTTAGCACATACACAACAAAGCCAGTAACGAGCCTTACTTTCAAAGCAAACCGGTAGAACGTATTGTGAGGTCGCCCCGTTCCCGTTCCTTCGAGGCATTGAAATCTAACCACTAGGTGTGTTTCTGGAACGTGACACGACGAACTTCCACGGCGCAGTACGGAGAATGTGCTTCGCGACAAGATCAGTCGCGTTGGCGTTGGCATTTCTCGAAAGGCAAGCGTCGATTGTAGATGACGAGGCTCATGTCGACCTTTCCCTCAGGGATTCTGCAAAACGTAGGCCCGAGCGCGGACGTTCCGCGAAACGGGTGATTCCCTGTGCCGAGGGAGCTTCGCATCCGCTGTAGTAAAGGGTTGACATTCATGACAGTCGTGAGAGGCTCCCCGCACTCTTCCACAGAATAGCAATAGTGACCTTGGTTCGCCAAAGTGTCACACTAAACTCTGGATAAGTACCTTCGCCAGTAGAATGAGCATGGCGGAACTCACAATCTCGGTAAGAGCCATCCCCAAGGTTTCGTAAATCCACTAGCCTCCCCTTGATGCCCTTCGGCTCCTCTTGAACGAGGTAGTGAGACCCCAGGTTGCGTTCTTTGGCTGTAATACTACTGGCATCCAGTTAGTACTTGCGAATGTTCGTCATAAAAATCAATCTAATGAGTTGGTTGAAGAAAACCCCAAGAAGACCCACCTCATAAAGCCTCACGGAAATAGGTAGTCAATTTGAGTGTAGCTCAAGATTTGCGTAGTCAATGATCACGGCGTCGCTTGCGTTTCTAACGAGCCAAAACCGAGCTTCGTCAAACATCGCAACCTCTCCCAGACCTCTCCGATTGAACCTAAGCTGTTGAAGTTTAACATGAGTGGCCACCTACTGAGAGAATATCGTTGAAAAGCGTACTGGGATGGAATGAATAAAACGAAATTTCCCTCTCAGTGGGATGTACCAGGCGAAACATTGCTGACTCATGATGCATGATCAACGCCTTCATCGGCGAGCATGCGCAATACCGTCGTCTTGCTGAAATTCCGCGTTCACGGCGAAGAAGGCAACGTTTGGACCTATGGCGGTAGTGAACTAGACAACTCAATCAACAAACATACCGCAAACATTACATACGACTGATTCCTCCTTATCATCCACTTGGCCTTGAGTTGCACCACAAACACTGCAGAAAACTTTGTGACAAAGGTACGTCTCTCGAATTTTGAACTTCCTTCTCACAATGTAAAATTGCCACCCTCTGAAGTGCGTGATGATCAAAGGCCTTTTAAATTTCCCACTCTGGAAACACCCAAAAGTGTTCGTACACAACCAGTACGTCGGTGTAAACCAGAACTCGTTGAAGCACCATGCGGCACACCCCCGCCATAATCGCGAGGCTTCGACCCTCCTTCCCACTCCCTCGACCCTCCAGCTTCAGATCCTAATCCCACCATCCGAGTTCACATGGCCAACCTCACCAGCATCCCTGCGTGCAGACAACCTCCTGCATGATGTCGAAGCAGGGGCGGTTGAAACCTCACTGAAATCTCGACAGGGGTGTTTCAATTTGATTCCCATATTATGACTGGCACTCGGCCCTTCCTCAGCAAAGTAATCCTCCAACTTTTTCCTCTGGTTTTCCTTCCGCCTCAATCCCCCATTCCATTTCGAATCCCGCGTCTTCCACCTCAATTGCCTCATCCAAACTTCCATGTACGCCTTGATCAACACAAACTCTGCCTCGTCATTTCCGCGTGATCGCTACGCAAAGTCCTTCCTCCACTACTAAAATCGACGTAGTCGATGATGGGTGGGCGCAGCGCGCGGCTGAGTTGTGGGCCTGAATGACGTGAAAGGTAGTTGAGATTCAAAAAGGTTGGACTTGGGATACAACCTCGATTCCACGCAATACGCACATAATCTCTCGGAATCGGGAATCATCGTTTGTTGTACCTCTCAAGCCCAATCTCAGACGGCGGATGCGAACGAGAGGGAGGGATGTTAC